TATAACTCATTAAAGTACAATATAATATTATAATACATTATACAATATTATATTGCATTGCATTTAATACTTATAATACTATAATAATGTAAACTAAATATTATAACATTATATTTACAATATATTTTATTATAATTAATATATAATATATTAATAATATGTTTAATACTAATGTTATAATGGGTCAAACTAGTGTTGACCAAAAATACTTAACATGGTGTTTTGAAAATATTTTAAGGAAAAAGCACAACACCAATGTGTTTTTTTACAAAAACACAACAAGAAAAACACTATGGTATCAAAACAAAGCCTAAATACATAAATAAAACTTATCAAACATTGTCTTGGAGACTTACACGAAAAAAATTGCTTATAAGCTAAAATAAATCACTTCTCAACCATGCTCTAAATTAAAGCAATGGGCTTAGTAATGGTGATCAATAGTCATGAATCTTGATTCATTAGTTGCAATCCTAATAGAAATTATAACACATCAATTAGATGTTTGAATACAAGATTGAAGGTTTTTAACACAAGCTATACACGTGGAGAGACTACAGAGCGAATACATCTCTTTGGCAACCTAAACAAACAGGCACACTTTAGTAAGTAGTGGTTGACCAAGTTTTAAAAAAAAAGTAAAATAAAGCCCCGCTTAAGCGGATTTTGAAGTGGAAGCAGCCCCAAGCCGCTTCGCTTTTGATGCTTTTAATGATATTAAGTGTTATTGGCACTATTTACACGAAAATGCGTCTTAAAGCATCAATGTTTTAAATAGTGAGTGTCTAGCTTGCCTAGGCACCTACGTAGACCTAGGCGCTACCAAGGCATCTGCCTACCTAGGCCGGTGGTACCTGCGTCGTCTGCCTAGGTCTTGGAAGCGCTTAAGAGAGCATAAGCCATTTACGCGGATTTGCATCTCTTAGGTTTCAATCATGATTTACTCAGCTACAACCTCCACGTCCTCTGACCACGTCCACTAATTATGAACACTTTCTATATCTCCTCTGACTTTCAGAAAACCTCCTTCCCTATTTAAACAAAGAAAGAAATTTGCCTAGACGCACGTCTGATACCTAACACATTATATAACAATGATATTGTAACTAAAAATAAAAATAAAAAATCGTCTAGGCCCCACTTAAGCGCCTAGGCTCTAGGCGTCGGGTCTTTGCATCTAGGCCACCTAGCTTCCTGTAACCTTGTAAAGTGCGTAAAACAGGTTAAAGCACTAAAAACGCTTTTTTAGTGCTTAAACAAAAGTGAGATGTGGGCATTTGAGCTGCATTTTTGTACCCGATCCGAACCCGACCCATTCTTATTACTTGAACCCCCTTTCTTTCTCTTCCCTTTGTGATTCTCCCGTTTACAACTGAACCCAAGAAACCATAGAGCTCCCAATCCTACCTCCTCCTTTCACCGCCTCGTCCACCTACTCTCCTTCGTACACCGCCTCGACGAAGATCAGCTCCTCCGCTGCCACCGTTGACAATAGCCTGTAGTAGCTCCTTGATGAAGCTCTAACAGCTTCTTCCAGACCTAGACCACAAC